TTAAATATCACAAACATACTACAGAAAGAGTCAGGAAGTAAAAGTGTAAAAATGTTGATAAGGTTCTTCATTAAAACAAAGCTGATCGATAGGATATGATTAGGACAGACAACACATACACAAGTAAATAGAATTTATTTATTTTATTTATTTATTTATTTTAAAAAGCATTCTTAATCAGGTCTCTCTTGTAAATGAGTCCTCGAGGCTCAATGGGATTTACCTGTAGAAATAAAGGTTGATTGATTCTGACCCACACTCCATACCAGTCGGTGGCGGTAATGCACACCATAAGTTGTTTGCCAACCGCCAATAAAACTGAAGAAGAAGAAGCGAAAAGTGCTACCAAACATAGCATGTGTCATAAACTGCACTGACCAGGCCAAACATAAAACAGAGAAAATTAAAATAATTGTGAGAGGAGCTGAAAAATTTTTGGGGTTCAAAGAGGGATCTTGGGAAAACATTAACAAAAGGTTGGAAGCTGATGGAAGACCAGGAACACCAGGTGACAATATATGATTATATTACAATGGAATGCTAGAAGTTTAATTGCTAATGGACAGGAACTTAAAGGTTATATTAACGAACTTCAAGAGAAACCAGACGTTATTTGTGTACAGGAGACGTGGTTAAAACCAACAATAGATTTTATTATTAAAGGATATGATGTATAAGAAGGGATCGACAAGAAGGAAGTGGAGGAGGGTGTATAATATTTATAAAACAAGGCAGGCAATATCAAATAATAGGGAAAGGTAAAGAATTGGAATATATAGTAATAGAAATCTGGGGAAAAGAAGGAAATTGTAAAATATTAAATTTTTATAATCCATGTAAAACATTGTCACTGGAGTTGATGGAAGAGGTGATGGAACATCTGGAAGGGAGAGTAATATGGTGTGGGGACTTTAATGCTAATAGCACAGTATGGGGTAAATGTAATGATAAAAATGGACAGATTATCGAAGAAATAATGGAAAACAAAAAATTAGTATGTATTAATGATGGAAGAGGAACAAGACTGAATGTAAGAACAGGAGCAGAGTCAGTCATAGATTTAACAGTTGTATCAAACTCACTGGCTGGTGTCTGTGAGTGGGACATTATAAAAACACAACTATAGGCAGCGATCATTATCCCATTACAATAAGAGCAGGACTAACAATAAATAACAAGAATATAAAAATAAACAAAAAATGGAATTTTAATAAGGCAGACTGGGTTAAATTTAGCTATTTGAGTCAAATTAGTCTAGAAAAAGTCAACATGACAATGGATATAAATAATATAAATACATATATAAATAAGGTAATACTAGAAGCTGCAGAAAATTCAATAAAGAAAGGAGGAAGACAGAAGGACAAGAGAATTGTACCCTGGTGACAAGTGAATGTAGTGAAATAATAAAGTTAAGAAATAAAGAATTTAAAGTACTTAAAAGGAATCCAATTTATCAGAATCTAATTGATTATAAAAGAAAACAAGCTATGGTAAGGAGAATAATTAAGAACACAAAGAGAGAATATTGGAGAAAATTCTGTAACACAGTGGGAAAAGAAACAAAAATTGAAAAAATTTGGAAAATAATTAAAAGAATGAAAGGTATTAAAAAAGAATATGAATATCAAGTATTAAAAATAACAAAACTATTACAAAAGATGACGAGAAAGCTGAAATATTAGCAGAAACATTTAGTAAAATTCATAGTTCGAGTAACATGAGTGAAGAAGGAAGGAAAGGTCAGGAAGCCACAAAACTAAAATACAAAGATTTACTACAAAATACTGAAGAAACAAATAATTTATTGAATGAACCATTTACTAAAACAGAACTGAACTATGCACTAAGGAAAACAAAGAATACAGCACCTGGTAAAGACAACATTTGGTACACGATGATAGAACATCTCAGTGAAACATCAAAAGATACAATATTAGAATTTTACAATAAAATCTGGGAGGAAGGGGAGCTGCCAGAGAGCTGGAAGGAGGCAATCATAGTTCCAATAGCCAAACCAAGAAAAGACAATACAAACCCAGAAAATTATAGACCCATTGCTTTAACATCAAATATGTGTAAAATAATGGAAAAAATGATTAATAATAGATTAACTTATTATTTAAATATCAAAGGGTATATATCTAAATATCAGAGTGGGTTTAGAAAAGGGAGGAATACTAATGACCCAACAATTTGCTTAGAGCATGAAATCAGAAAAGCACAAATCAACATAGAAAGTGTAGTCGCTGTATTTTTTGATACAGAGAAGGCATATGATATGATGTGGGTAGAAGGATTATTAATTAAATTATGTCAAATGGGGATCAATGGAAATATGTTTAACTGGGTGCAAAACTTTTTATCAGACAGAACAATAGAAGTGAGAATTGGGCAAGAACTATCAAGAACATTTACAGTAGAAAATGGGACGCCACAAGGAAGCATATTAAGTCCGTTATTGTTTTCCATAATGATAAATGATATATTTACAGACATTGAGAAAGAAATGGGATGTTCATTATTTGCGGACGATGGAGCCATATGGAAAAGAGGTAGAAATACAGAATTTGTTATTAAAAAAATACAAGATATGATAATTAAAATAGAAAAATGGGCATTTCAATGGGGATTTAAGTTCTCAATAGAAAAAACAAAAGTTATGGTGTTTACACAGAAAAGAATAAGAGAGGAAATAAAATTAAAATTATATAATCAAGAATTAGAACAAGTAAAAAGTGTAAAGTTTTTAGGAGTATGGTTTGATGAAAAAATAATATGGAAGATACATATACAGAAAATTATCGATAAATGTAAGAAAATATTAAACATTATGAGATGTTTGGCTGGCAGTGACTGGGGAGCAGATAGAGGAGCTTTAAAACAAATATACACCGGATTAATCAGATCAAACATTGATTATGGAAGCATCATTTATGGATCAGCAGCAAAAACTCATCTGGAAAAATTAGATACAATACAACATCAGGCGTTAAGAATCTGCACAGGAGCGTTCAAAACTACACCAACAACAGTGCTAGAAGTAGAAACGGGAGAGATGCCTTTAGATCTAAGAAGAACACAACTAGCAATAAATTACTGGATAAACTTACAAAGCAATAACCCGGATCATCCAACACTCGATACACTAAACCCATGCTGGGAAAAAGAGAAAAAACAAACAAGAAGTTTTGGATGGATCATAAGAAAGAAAACAGAAGAAGTTCAAATACATCATTTAGAAATAAGTCCACATTTACCACTATCAGTTTTACCACCCTGGATATTACCAACAGCAACAGTCGACATGACACTATTGGAAAGGAAAAAGGACAGGACATACATCATAGATTCACACACAGTACAGACTTATATAAACAATTATTACCAGTACATTCAAATATATACAGATGCATCAAAAACAAATGAAAAAATAGGAATAGCTTTTATAGTACCGGAATTTCAAATAAAAATAGGAAAACGAATCACCAACGACTTATCAGTGTATACAGGAGAGATGTTAGCAGTTTTATTGGCAGTGCAGTGGGTGGAGGAAGTAAAACCATTAAAAACAATAATCTGTTCGGATTCAAGTTCCACATTACTCAGTTTAAAGCACAATCATACAGACAGTAGGCCAGATGTTTTATTAGAAATATACCACACATTATTCAGAACACAAAGGATGGGTTTAACAGTGACGTTGTTATGGATACCAGCGCACACTGGGATTGAAGGAAACGAGATGGCAGATAAGATGGCAAAGAAGGCAACTCAGAATCACATTGACTTTACAGTGAATATAAGCAAATCAGAGGTAAAAAGTATCATCAAACAAAAACTGAAGAAAGAATGGCAGAAAAGATGGGATGAAGAAAGAAAAGGAAGATGGTTTTATAGGATCAAAAAGACAGTAGGAGAAACAAGAACTGGAAGAAGGAGCAGAAAGGAAGAAAGATTAATAACAAGATTGAGATTTGGACATACGGGACTGAATTATTCATTATTTCAAATAAAGAAACACAATACAGGAAAATGTGAGCACTGTGGACAAGATGAAACTATACAACATGTGATACTGGAATGTCAGAAATATGCAGCAGAACGAAGGCTTATGAAGAGACAGTTTGAAAAGATAAAAGAAAAACTTAATATAATAGATGCACTACAACACAACTTGGAGAGCAAACATATACAAATTATAATTAGATATTTTAAGAAAACAAAGTTGATTAATAGAATTTGAGATATATATAGTTTACTCACACATACACATAGAATTAGCCCATGATGAACCACACTCCATACCAGTGGTGGCGGTAATGCACACCTACAGTTTTTTGCCAACCGCCATTAAACTCATCAAGAAGAAGAAGAAGTGCTACCAAAAGAGAGGTAGTGGATATAGAAATAGCACACAGTAAATCAGAATTAAAAAGCATTATTAAACAAAAAATGAGAGAAAAATGGCAAAAACAGTGGGAGGAAGAAAGAAAAGGACGTTGGTTTTATAGAATTCAAAGGAAAACGGGAGAAATGAGGTGCGCTGGAAGAAACAGAAGGGAGGAAATAGTTCTATCACGGCTAAGATTTGGACATGTTGGGTTGAATAAGTCATTGTTCATTATAGGAAAACATGATACAGGAAAATGTGGGTACTGTGGAGAGGATGAGGATGTAGAACATGTGTTAATACATTGTCAAAAATATAGTCTTGAAAGGAATCAACTGAATACTAGACTCACTGACATGAAATTAAGATTGGATTTTTTTTTTATTATTACAGCACAATTCAAAGTCTGAAAGTATTCGAGCTTTAATGCATTACTTGAAACAAACTCGATTGTTTGAGAGAATATAGGTTATTTATTTATTTATTTATTTATTTATTTTAATGTTGATCCAGTCCATACTCCACACCAGTAGGTGGCGGCCATGCACCTTTCAGTTGTTTGCTCACCGCCATAAAACTCCAATAGGAAGAAGAAGAAGAAGAAGAAGATCCTGTGTGACATCAGAATGTGGGGCGTTTGCAGCAGAACTGCGGTGAGTAACACACAACCTCAGTTAACAAAACTCCCATCTGCTTTTCGGGGTAACAGTTTGACTAATACAATTAAAAATACGTCCTCTTTATGTACGACAGCTTTATCCACTCAAGATTTGTTTAGGTTTTCTTGCTGAAACCGTTCGGGTATGTTGGCTAACTGTTAGCATCGGGAACTATTTAGCTGCGATAGCTAATGTTGACGTTATGCTAACAGAACTGGGTCAAAGGTTAGGATTAACGGGGCAAAAACTGTTAAAGCGTTTTAATTTTAGCTCAGGTTTGTGGTTGGTAAACAAGATTTAACCGCAGTTTAGTAAGTGTACATGTGGGAAGAATAATTTAAAAACGTTTTTCACCGTTTAAAACCATTTTAACTAGTAACAAAAGTATCGTGTCATCTGGACCAGTTTCTTTAAAGTGAGAAAAGTTTCGTCCCCCATCCAGAGGACTTCCTCAGCCTACGGCCGGCCAAGCAGATCTGTCCAATAGGTAGCCTTCACTGCTGTGTTTCAAGCCAACCTCCTGTTGGAATTCAAAAATAACACGTACAAAACAATCATGTACTCAATCAAAGGTATTAGGCCATATCGCTGATGTGCACACAAAATTTAGGCACTTGGACATTTTTCAAAAGTTTTTTTAACGGCCTTCTGCATGCAACAAAAATACACCTCATTTGTTAACATTGAACGAATGAGACGGAAGATATTATCATTCAAAGTAGTAGTTTTAATGTACTTTGAGCTTATTTACATGACAACAACAGAGAAAAATAACTGTTAATTAAAAGACATTTCTGACTGAAAAGAAGTGTTTATTAACATGAACATCAGTTCTAAGTGGTAAACTGTATCCTAATCAAATTCAGTGGGGATTTCACTGAATATATGTAAATGTTTTTCCTGCTGACATTGGGGTCACCAAGTGACCTTGATGACTTCAAGGTCAAAGGTCACATTAGTGCAGTCTTGAAGCTAGCAGAAATGGTTACTTCAATGAAAACAAACAAATGCACAATTTGTGACGCATTCTAAGGTGAATTCTGTACAACTATGGTTGTAAATTTTCACTATGACATCATTTTCAAGTATTATGCACAGTCTGTGGCTGCCATATTGAATAATGGTGTCCATATTGGAGAAAAACTGCAAATTTTAGGTTGTGCCAAATATTGTGTAGGGTATCAAAATGGAGCTCAGAATGAGAGGGTTCTAAAACTGCACATTATGCCCAGGTTTAAAACTTTTCATGGATTATTTCCTCTCTCTTTTAATTCAAAGCAAGATCACCCAAGCTGTAGTCTGTCAGGAATTTGAAGAGGGGCATCTGATTAGAGATGCACCGATCCGATACCAATATCGGCATCTAGACCGATATCGAGAAAACTTGTGGATCGGGTATCGTGACTATGTGACCGATCCATGACTGGGCAGATCTATTCACTAATTCTATGCTTTGTGTTCTGAAGGACATTATGTGCTAGCGTACTGACTGAACAAATTAAAGTTGTGTTGTTTTTACATGTTTGACCAAGCTTGTGAAGCTCTTGGTGGTGTGTTTAAGTGTGCTGTTATGGTGCAGAGTTTTCAATAAATTTGTAATTCAGTACATTCATGTCTGCGTTTAACAAAACAAATGTTTTAAGTTAATTCAGCACTGGGTTTGTAAGCTCAAACATCCAGGTAGACTACAAAAATGGCTAAATCATGTCATCTGGACCTGTTTCAGAAACTGATCCAGATGACATGATTTAGCCATTTTTGTTAACCCAGTAGGAATGTGCGATACGGCATAAGTCATCACGATATGTATTGTGAAGGGTGGCGATAACGATATATATCGCAATATGTTTTTGGTATAAAACTTGCTAAAAAAAAGCATAGGGTGTCCTTTAGCCATCATATATTTTGAATTAAGAAAATTCCACTACTAGGTCCAGAGAGTTTTTAAATAATAAACAAATCAAATATTAGGCTTCTTTCTTGTGCAAAACATTGCAAAAGGAATCAAATGTAGTTTTAGCCTTGTTTTAAACAAAATAATATGTTGTTAACTCTTATCAGTTTCCAGTCTTCTCACTTTATAAATGAACAGCAACAGAGCAGCATTTTACAAACACTTCACCCTCCAACCCTCTGGTTGGCGCCTCCTTCCGCTTTAATGGAGAGCTGAAACAAAACGAGTCTGCGGCTTTGACCAGAAGGTCTCTCTGTAAAATCACACAACACAGCATTCTTTTCACAGATCAGAGAGCAGGTTTCTCTAAAGGTGACCAACGATTTAACTTTGGATGGAAAAAAACAACAACTTTCAATGGAACTCAGCGTTTTGCTCATGCATCAGAGTTTCAACAAACAAAAGTAACGATTAAACTGACAACTCTGATTTTACTTCAGACACAGCATTACTGCGGTTGGCCTGTAGAAGACAGATCTCTATCGTAGGCTAAATTTTAATCGTTTCTACCGTATACCGTTTATATTGCGCATTCCTAATGTGTGTGTGTGTGTGTATATATATATATATATATATATATGTATGTGTGTGTGTGTGTGTGTGTGTGTGTGTGTGTGTGTGTGTGTGTGTGTGTGTGTGTG